TGTTACTAGAAATGCAACAGAAACCCGGCTGAATCCCCAGGGCTTCCCTTCTGCCCTTCTCAATGGAAAGATCTGTCCCAGGACCATTTGTTCCAACATTTTCAATTATGAGAAATCTGGGAAGATAAGGTTATTTTCACATTTCTTAAGAAATACATATTTATTCATACTCGTTACAGGAAAGTCAGAATCCAGAGAAAACCAGGAAGATTTGTAAAAATCCGTAACACCACCGTCGAAAGAGCCGCACTTGGCATGTTGGCCAAAGGCTTCCCAGCACCCTTTTCTGTTGGTGGATGCACAAAATGCACAATCACACTCTGTCTATATTTTACAGTTTGCCTGGTTTTTTGATTAACACTATATATTGAACAATTTTTAAGACCTGCAACATATGTCGACAACATTATTTCCAAATAATATATTTGCAAATAAATGCACACACACACTGTCTTTTATATACAACATACCTTACTTTCTAATTCTCCGCTCTTGAAGATTTAGGTTTTGCCAACTATTTCTTAATATACTCACCAGGAGTCAGCAACTTTTTAAATAAAAGTCCAAAGAGTAGATATTTTAAACTCTGCAGGTCAAAGGTTTCTATTGCAACACTCAACTCTGTGGTTGCAGGGAAGGAAGCCATACACAGTTTGTAAATGAATGGGCATGACTATGTTCTGATAAACTTTACAAAAACAGGTGGTGGACTAGATGTAGCCTGCTCCTCTGGATGGCTTACCAGCTCCTGACATGTACCACTACAGAGGATGCTGTTAGAATGAAATCTCTTTACACATCTCTGATGATCTCCTTAGGACTAATTGCTAGACATGACATCATGGTAGCTGTGGGTCAAAGGGCGTGCATTCTCTGGGATGTACGTTGCCAAATTGCTCATGATCAGCCTTTCTCATGTCAAAATGTTTTGTGACCACCAGAAGGCTGGTTCTGCTTTTAGTATCCATTGAATGAGGAATAGAAATGACATTGCATGTACACAGGATATGTAGTCATCATATAGTTAATGCTTTGTGCACAAGTGTATTCTACATTCTTTCCCAATAAGTCTACATCTGCCAGAATTGAAATAAAATAAAACAAACCTATTTAGCACCTTCTGTGTAGCAGGTCCATTCATATATGTTGCTGTATTTAATTCTCAGAATTCTTATGATCTAGGCATTTAAATTTTTTTAAAATATTTAGTTGACAAGGATTGTATATACTTAATGCATACAACATGATGATTTCATATATGTATATATTGTGCACTAATTATCACAATCAAATTTATTACATCCATTACCACCTATGCTATACATTAAATCTCCAGAATTTGTTCATCTTATAACTGAAAGTTTATACCCTTTGATTAATAGCTTCCCATTTTCCCCACCCCCAGCCCTTGGCAACCACCATTCTGCTATCTGTTTTCATGAGTTTGACTCTCTTAGATTCCACATATAAGTGAGATCATAGAAAACTTGTCTTTCTGTATCTGGCTTATTTCACTTAGCGAAATGTCCTCCAGTTTATCCACGACAGGAGTTTCTTCTTTTTCATAGCTAATAGTCCGTAGTTTATATATATTTTATTTATCCATTCATCTGTTGATGGAAACAGCACTTAGGCTGTTTCCATATCTTGAGTATTGTGAATAGTGTTGTAATAAACATGGGGCTCAGATCTCTCTTCAAGGTTCTAATTTGATTGCTGAATCGTATGGTAGTTTCACTTCTAATTTTTTGAGGAACTTCCATACTGTTTTTCATAAAGGTTATACCACTTTACATTCCAACCAACAGTGTACAAGGGTTCTCTTTCCTCTATGCTTTCGCCAACACTTGTTATCTCTTGTCATTTTCTAGAATAGCCGTCCTATCCTATGCGGCAATATCTCACTGTGGTTTTGATTTGCATTTCTCTGATGATTAGTGGTGTTGAGCATCTTTTCATATACTGGCCAGCCGTTTGTATATCTTCCTTGGGAAAAAACAGTCCATTCAGGTCCTTTGCCTATTTTTAATTGGGTTATTTATGTATTTATTAATTTTTGCTATTGAGTTGTGTGAATTTCTTATATATTTTCAATTGACCCCTTATCAAATATATGGGTTGCAAATATTTTCTTCCATTCCATAGGCTGCCTTTTCATTTGGTCATTGCTTCCTTTGCTGTGTAAAACCTTTTAAGATTGGTGTAGTCCCATTTATGTATTTTTGCTTTTGTTGCCTGTGCTTTGGTGTTATATCGAAAAAAAATTATTGCCAATTATGACCAATGTCAAGGAGATTTTCCCTGTTGTCTTCTAGGAGTTACATGGTTTCAGATATTATATTTAAATCTTTAATCCATTTTGAGTTAATTTTCTGTGTATGATGTAAAACAAGTATGCAACTTCAATCTTTTGCAGGTACTTTCCCCAGCAACACTCCCTGAAGAGAGTTCCTTTCTACACTGTGTATTTTTTTCTTAGAGTAAAGTGAAAGCAAGTCTATTAAGAAAGTAAAGGAATAAAAGAATCTACATTGTGTATCCTTGATGACCTTCTCAAAGTTCAGTTGACCACATATGCATGGGGTTATTTCTAGGTGAGCTTGGCATTTTTGTCTCCCTCCTTTTACCAATGAGGAGGCCAAGTCTCAGAGAGTTCACAGACCAACCTAAGGTCACTCAGGTACAGGTGGTACAACCAGGGTTTGAACTGAGATCTCCCAAGTTTCTGAGTTTCTTCTCTTTCCCCCACACCAGGGTTCCTCAACACAGCATTACTGACATCAGGGACCAGATAATTCTTTGTGATGGGGCTGTCCTCCGCCTGGCAGGATGTTTAGCAGCTTCTCTGGCCTCCACCCACTGGATGCCAGGGGAATGCAGAAGAGGCTCCTCATTCTTCCATTTCATCCTCAGGACAATATCTGACATAAATGTTATGTCTTTTATTTTATAAATGAAGCAAATGAGACTCAGGAAGTTTTAAGTGAGTTACCTAAGAGCACACAGACAGCAAGACGTAGAACTAGAAAGTGAACACAGGAGTCCACATGGGACAACAACAAAGTTCAGGTTCCAGCCTCCTTTGAGTCTCTCATGTCAACAATTACCATCGTCTGGAGATGAGCTGAAGTACAGGAAACCTGGGGCTGAACTCTCCTCCCATCAGGCCTAGGACCCCAGACCAGAACCCCAGCCCATGGTCTCCCAGTCAGACCCACTGGAGTGAGCTGGCATCCACACTAGCCTGGTTTCCCAAAGCTACAGGGATGCCAGTCTCACTGCGGATGAACAAAATGAAGGGCATTTGCTTCTCCTGCAGGTTGCCAGGATTTAACACAGATTCCTTCTCTTGCTCTCTTCTCCCGCAGCACAAAACAGGGTGATCCATCCCCCTTCCAGTGTCCCAAGGCTTTGTTGCATGTTCTCTTTAATTTCTCTCACCCTCACAATGCACCGTACCCGCGTCTCCCTGGCAAAATTTCTGCTCTATCCTCTTGACACCTGGATCACAAGAACACCTGTGAGGCCCCTTAACCAGCTACAACCAAAATTGTCATTCCCCTGTGTCCTCAGCCAGTGCCCACGCCCAACTTGCTCTCCTGGGGTGACTTCCTTTCCTGCCCAGTATGGCTTCATCATCTGTAAATTGGGGATAATTAAAGTCTTTATCCTGATATTTGGCTCTCAAAGGAGAAGTAGCAAGCTCAGCCAAGTCAAGTAAACAAGAGGAGACGTTCCTTGTGAACTGAAAAAGCACTGGTCACAAGGGCCGCTCCTTCTCTCAGGCCTCTCCAGCACACGCTTGTCTCAGAAGAGACTCAAGGTGTGCTTCTGTGCTGTCGGGATAACATAGGAGGTACCTAGTCCTCGACCCTGCGACTTTAACAGTTTCCTCCTGTGGCTCAGTTCTACAGCTTCAGTGACACAAAGTGGCTTTTGCTCAAAATAGCCTTTGACAGGTTAAGTTAGTCCTCTGCCACTCTAAGTCTGTGCGGAACAGTTCTAAGTAAAAGACATTTATTCCTCTGATCCCGAGGAAGGAAGGGAAAGGCAATGACATTAACCATGTGTTGGACTTTAGCCTCTGGAAAACCCTGGTGTTGGCTGCTGCCAATGCAACCTGGGATAGTGTCACAAACATCAAGCGATGCATACCTGTTCTTATTCAGCAGAGACACTTCCTCTTTATTTCTGGGTGAGAACCAGCACCATTTCCCTGGTGACAGGGGCCCCAGCTAGGAACCATACAGGGTAGGATGCTACCCTACCCTAGACACCCAGCAGGGAAAATGCCATTTTGCAGATGCAGGAGTGGTTAGAGTTTGAAATGGTCATGCTAGACTGCAACACCACGTGGGTCCTCAAATGATTATGAGTTTCTGTCCTCAGGCACATAAGGCCCCAGCAGAAGCCACCTGAGGGTGGACCTGAAACGGCATGGCTATGTGTGTCTGCTGGGGAATCATAGAGAAGGTTTCTGTTCAATATGAACCTTAGGGCCAAGTGAGCCTGGCTCCAATCACAGCACCGCCACTCACCAGCCTTGACTGTGAGCAAGTCACTTAGGCTCTCTGAGTTCCAGCTCCCTTGTTTCTCTAATGGGAATTGGATATCTCACTATAACCCTGCTTTTGTGCAACTGGCACACATGAGCTGCTTGCTAAGTATGAAAATCCCTCTTCTCCTTCTCTTTCCCTGCTGATCAACAGCTGTGGCCAAAAGCTGACTTTAGCCAAAAGCTAAATGTTTGCAAAAATTTAATATACATTTATATTAAATATAGAAATAGAAACAAAAGGGCTAAACCAGCCTGTGTTACAGGATCTCGGTTAATGCTAAGAGCTCAAAAGACCTGGGTCAATTACATAGTCTCTTTCTCTGCCAAGCCGATTAAAAAGTCCCTAAAATAAAGGCTATGGGTCTTGGGTTCTCCCAGAACTTTGAGAAATAAGAGGGGGCCTCTATACTGGGTTGTGTGAATTGCACCTCTCACCTGACAGTGGCTTGTGGTGTCCTTGGAGTCTAAAAGCTACATGATGCTCCCTGGGAAGTGGCTGCTTTCTGACTGGTATGCTTGGATCTGTGCCATGGACAGTCACTGGTGGCCCAGAAATCTTTACTTGTTTCAGGCTCGTCCAACTCCAAAAAATAATGTGTCCACTCTACCATTGTTCTCCTCTTCACTGAGCTTCCCTTTCTCAGTTACATGCTGAAACCCAAAGACTCACAAATATCACCTTCTCCTACGCCAACAAAATACACAGTGATGTAACCCCAAAGTCTTCTGGCCTCACCAGCCTATAGGAAGGAATGAAATTACATCTGAAACACAGCAGGGGCTGGCACTCCCTGAATGTAATATGACTATGGTATTCCACAACTGTAACACCGCCATTCTTTCATAAAATATTCATAGTTGTTCCATGGCAGGCAAATCTATGCAAGCCTACCTCCAAAGTACAATGAAGCTGAGAGGCTGAAGAAAGCCGCTGACAAATCCTATCGCTTAGAAAGTGGCTGGGCGCGGTGGCTCACACCTGTAATCTCAACACTTTAGGAGACTGAGGCAGACAGATCACCTGAGGTTGGGAGTTCGAGATCAGCCTGACCAACATGGAGAAACCCCGTCTCTACTAAAAATACAAAAAATTAGCCAGGCATAGTGGCATATGCCTGTGGTCCCAGCTACTCAAGAGGCTGAGGCAGGAGAATTGCTTGAACCCAGGAAGCGGAGGTTGCAGTGAGCCAAGATCACGCCATTGCACTCCAGCTTGGGAAACAAGAAAAAAACTCCGTCTCAACAAAACAAAACAAAACAAACAAAACAACAAAAAAATAAAGTGATATTTAATAGGGACTTACAAACAGAAGCCATGTCAGTGTCTGGGGGTGGAGAGATGAGAGAGTGGATGCCTACACCATTACCCTGCAGACCCAGGGCTGATATATGACAGGGAAAGGGTATACATGATTCAGAAGTGATGTGTAGGACAATTAAAGTATGATAACAGCAAAGCTGTTTTGACCTAAGGGGAGCATTTACAGTAAGTATGTGCTCTTACACAAGGAGTACTAGACAAACTGGAAATCTTAATGGCCTTCCCAGAGCAGAGGTTAATGTGAAGTCAACATGGCAGGTTAGCATCCAACATGAAGTTGCTTTGGCCTCCACATAGTAACTTCAAGACATTAAGAATCCCCAAAAGTAGCCACTCTCTGATATAACATGTCCTAGTATTTACATATAAGCTATGCATATCCTCTCGTAGACATTAGACCATTACTAGATTATTTGTGATACGTAATACAATGCAGATGCTACATAAATTGTTGTGATACTGTATTCTTTAGAGAATGATGACAAGAACAAAGTTTGCACATGTTCAGTAGAGACATAACCATCCAGTTTATTTTCTGAATATTTTCCATCTGCTGTTGCTGAATCCACAGATGCAGAGCTCCCGGATATGAGGGCCAAGTGTGCTTTGAGAGTAGGGTGGGTGAGGTTGCTAAAGAGTACAGGGGAGCAGGTGTCGATCAGGAGGGCCCTGCATTGGGGCATCTGGACATCCTGCCTCAGGACTTGAAACTGTATGGCACAGGCAGACTCAGCCCAGGTCAAAGCCCAACCCTTGAAGTTTCATTTTATCCCAAGCTCTTTCTGGACCCTGGAATTTGGCATCCCCTAGGCCCTGGGTGAAAGGACAGATGAACCAGATTTTAGATAACATGTCTAGAATAGAGTGAGGCCCTACTGTGTGCCCGGCACTTTCCCCACAGGATCCTCTAGCTAGAACATCCAAGGGTCATGGAGACAAATACCCAGTTAAAATATCAGAAATGAAAAAAGAGATACCATTAGAGACACTAAAAAGACCATTAGGTAGTAGTATTAGCATTTGTATTCTGAAATTCAACAGCAGCAGTCACTTCCCTCCACCCCTATGTGTGTCCCAGATCACCTTGGGCGGGGAGGGTTGAGGTCAGGGAACACCCATGGATGCTCTGATGCTGGTCCTGGGCCTCGAGGGTGATAGTGATGAGGAACTGGGTGCACACATGAGTGGGGCAGCCAGGCATGGCCAGAGAAGCCACACACATGTGCACAGATGTGTTTACCCATGTACACGTGTGCACACATGTGCACAAACACATTGCAGGCAGGTGTGTTGATGCCTCAGGCAGCGGAGGACCCTGTCTCTGGGCCCTGCTGACCCGGGCAGGGTCCCACTGTGATGCGTGCCATGACCTCACAATGTCACTGGTGCTTAGCACCAATCCGATCTCCGGCCTGCCTCTGTGTTCTACAGCAGCCACACACACACAGTGGTATCTGGGAATACTTTTGTGGACTCAAAGGTTTTCTACCTGAGAGGCATAACGCAGGCCAGCTGATTCATCAGAATCAGGTGAGTGCGACCTGCTCTCTTCCCTCCAGGCTGACGTGGGGACAGTGGCTATGCTGTGGGCAGTGTTGGCCTCTGGGCAGCTACCGAGGAGGGTCATCCCTAAGTACTCACCGGGCACCCGTTCTACACTGCCCGTGTAGGCGATTGGCTCTTTTGTCCTCATGGTGGCTTCATAGAGTGAGTGCCATTCCCTAGTGTACCCATTCGACAGGTGAGACGTCTGGGGTCAGAGAGGCGGTAACCAGCCTGGGAATCCAGACAGGAACCTGGGTTTTGCTCTCAGCCCTGCCGTGTGCTGTGCTGGAATTCAGGCCTGAACCCTGTGACCTCCCTGCTCTAGATCCCAAATCTGCCCAGGTTTCCGATCCCGATGGGGCAGAGCGTGGTCCTGGCAGAGCCACTGGGATGGATCCACTGTGGATGGGATGGATAGGAGGGTCCTCAGAACACCTCTGTGCCCTAAGCTGGGTCCTGATGGTGGCTGTGGGCCCCCTGAACACACATGGTCCCTTGTCCGGGGGAGCCTTCTGCCCTTGGGCAGTTGTGGAAAACGAAGGACCCCTGGGGGGCTGGCTGGGGGGAGACCATCTTCCCTTCTATTCAAAGGGGTCCAGGCCCTGGGGTTCTCTCCATGTATTTCTTGCTCTGTCTGGTCCTCTCGAGGCCTCGCCCTCCTTTTGCCCCAAGTGTTCCCAGGAGGGACGGTCCATCCAGGTGTTCTCCAGGACCAAGGACCCACTGTTCTTCCTCAGTGACCAAGGAAAATGAAACCCTCTCCTATAGGGACAGCTCAGAATGGTGGAGTCCAGTCCCTCCCCGAGTGAAGGTTTCCCCTAGCACAATAGATCATTTTCATCCCCCAAACCAACACCCTCCTGCTCAACTGGCATTATTCCTAAAGTGGCTTCACTGTTCAGACTCAACGGCCACGGGAGCCAAAGTGATGAGTGGAGAAGAACAGAGCAGTCAGGAGAGATCTTGTTCCCTGTAGAAAACTGGTCGTCTCTGTGGTCCCTGAGCATCCCAGGAGGCGGATTGTACAGAGACCTCTGGTTGCTGACCCTAATCTGCCTCCACATCCCTGGAATAGCCCATCATGGGCCCTTCACCCTTGGCAGGTGGACACCATTCAACCTGCTGGGGCAGGTGTGTCACCATTTCATGGCATTTGGGGACGACGGGATTCTCTGTCCAGGTCCCACTGTCCTCAAGTCCTTGGGATGATGCCCACTCCTGCTTGGGGCTTGAGACTCCAGAGACTCGTGCAGGTGTGGGCCACTGAGTCTGGTCCCCTTTTTACCTGGGGGCGGTGGTGGAATGGGGGTTACACAGCCAGCCAGCATCTGGGAGCCTGGTGGGAGCGGTTCAGGTTTTCCCCAAAGCTCTCAGGTACAATGTAACTTTTAGATGATTTTATCCCACAGGATAGAAATCATAGAGGATACAGATAGTTTGCGGGCACAGGAGCGAGAGGACATCATTATGAACTATGAGAAGGTACAGGTCGGTCTGCTCCTTGGAGGGAGGTCTTTTCCAGTGCGCCCTGATCAACTGGTCCTGGGCTCCCTAGGCACACAGGGTGGGGACGGGTGGCCACTATCCCCAGGCCCTTGCACCCTTTACCTTGGACCCCTCACCAAGCCTCCCTCTGGGTTACAGGGACACCGAGCTGGGCTGCTAGAGGACATGGGGCCTGAGCCTGTTGGAATCTACAACAACATTGATCGCTTTGGGATTCTGCAGTGAGTCCTCTGTGCTCCCCTCACCCCTGAAGCACCTGTCTCAGCTCAGGGATGGGTTTGCTTTCAGAAAGGCCTTTCTGAGGCAGGACTGTCTCGCCAGGTCAGGCCAACCTCCTTTCCAGGGTCAGAACTCCTCCCTGGCTCCCCTGCAGGTCCAGCCCCAGGTTGCTGTTAGGCCAGAGGTGCGGGGCCCATCTAGGGAGCAGGTGGGAATGGAGACTGGCCTAGGTCAGGCCCCTGGGCTCTCAGCAGTTCTGTCCAAAAGTTAGCACTAGAGGAGGGGGGCAACCTGAGGGTCTGACCATGTCCACTTGGAGACAATCCCAGTGAGATACAAGGGTTGTGGCCGCAGGCTGAGGGGACGCCTGGCCTAGCATCAGGGCTGTTGTCCAGCAGGTCTCTGAGGACCCGCCTGCCCCTATCATCCCCCATTTCCCTAGAGCTACAGCCCTCACTGTCCCCATGGGGAAGGAGGAAAGGCATGGAGACAGTGGGGGCTGTAGCCCTAGGAGAATGGGGGAGAAGATGGGCAGGGCCCCGTTCTGGCCATCTCACGGTCAGGCCAGGGAGGCAGCAGGGCTTGTGGCTAAAGACCCTGGGTCTGGCGCTGGGAAGGTAGCTGGGGCCATGTAAGAGGAGCCGAGCCAGGAGCCCATCCGTCAGGGATCATAGGATGGAGAGACAGAGGATCCCGGGGGAAGTGGGGTGGGAGGGAGTTGATGAGCCGTGCCACTTCTGAAATGCAGGGTGTGTGGGTCAGGTGCAGGGAGAGGCAGGTGGATGCTGGGAGGTCAGAACCTGCAAGGGCCTTGGGGCTGTCAAGTGGGATGGGCCCCTGGTACACCAGGAGTGCACTGGGCAGGTCTCTGGGCAGGCTCCCTTGACCCTGGTGGGGTGATGTGGTCATTCCCTGTGGGACTACTGTCAGGGCCTGGTTGCCCACCCTGGGCGGCCCCTATCCCATCTCAAACCTGACCTTTCTCAGCTCCAGCAGAAAGCACCACCTTCAGTCCAGGACGGGCAGCCCCATTGTGCTGGCTGACCACTCCCCACGCCAGGAGCCGCAATAACCCCGGCCAGGCTGGCCCCGCACTCCCTCTTCTCCCAGGTCCTGCCCCTCCTCGGAGTCAGCCCCACAAGAAGGCCCTTGTCCTCCCTTTCCTGTGCCTTCTCCTGGGCTGAGCCCTGAGCTGTACAGGGACAGAGCCAGTCCTTTCTGGGGGTCGTCTCCCAGTCTGGGGTGGCTCCAGGCCCTGTGCAGGTCCTCATTTCTGCCTGGGTTGCCTAACAGTGAGACAGAGCTGCCTCCTGTCACTGCTCGGGAGGCGAAGGTAAGAGCCTGATGCACAGTGGTGGCGGGCTGGCTCAGGAATGTGGGGACTGGGCGGGTGGTCGGTGAGGCAGAGGAGGCAGCTGGCCTGGGCGGTGGCGGGTGAGGGCAACACGATGTCCCTGGGAGGGGCAGCACTCCCTGCTGGACCTGACCCCAGGTTGCTGTAACTTGGACTGTTTGATAAAATTCCAAAGTGAGAACCACAGTTGTGGCTTGGGGGTGGCTGCCCGCCTGTGTCAGGACCTTACCTAGAGGCTGGGACCTGACCTAAGACTGGTGTGTCTGTGGCCTGAGGATGGCACGTCCCGGGGTCCCAAAGGGACGGGGGCCCACTGGCGCTCATTTGCTCAAAAGCTCTCAGCCCTCAGGGTCTGCCCTTCCCTGGCTTCCTCCAGCTGGGTCCCAACAGGGCTCCAGAGCCCAAGACCCAGCATCCACGGGCGGTTCTGGGAAGCCTGGCAGCTCCGCTAACTCCAACATTCCTCATTTGACAGCAAATGCGGCGGGAGATAACACGAAAGAGCAAGTGGATGGAAATGCTGGGACAGTGGGAGACATACAAGAACAGTGAAAAGGTAATGTGTGGAGGGAGAGGCCCCCGGAACCACTTTCTGCAGAGACAGGGGACAGGCACCCATGGCTGTGGCCTGGCACCGTCAGCCTCTCAGAGGGCGGGTGGCACACTGTCCTCACCCAGAGGACTGCAGGCCTGGTCGGTGGTTTGCCTGCCTATTTGTGCAAGCGTCACCTTGCTGGGAGGGAATCTGAATCTAGGGCTGGAAACACCCGGAGCTCAAGGCTAGGGATGACCTGGTGACCTAAAGGAAGGAAAATGTTCAGATCAGAGTCCCGACTCTGAGTGTCCATCCACTTTTTCAATCCTGGGAAGGGAGACTGTGTCCCAGCTTAATGTCACCTCTAACGAGGAATCATGGGGCCAAAACCAACCATTTCCAGAATCCTCGGGCTCTGGTCCTCACTGGGGTCGCCCCGTGGCCTGTGACACCAGATTGTTTTCTGCCCACAGCTGATAGATCGAGTATATAAGGGCGTTCCCATGAACATCCGGGGCCAAGTGTGGTCAGTCCTGCTGAACATACAGGAAGTCAAGTGGAAAAACCCCAGAACATACAAGGTACGCTCAGCCGGAGCACAACAAACAGGACAGGCCGTGTCAGGGGCCCAGGTCTCCAGTTGGAGGGAGCATCAAGCCCAGGCTGGGGGGTGGGTGGGATGGTCAGATGCACATCCTGGGCACGGACGGTGACATAGTCACCACAGACAAACTCGGCTCCGGTGACCCTCCCCGGCTTCAGTAACAAGCCAAAAAGCAGCTTTGTGCAGAAGGAAACCTTCCTGCTTCCCTTCCTTCTTGAAGTGCTGACTGTGGGGTGACTGCCATTTGGGGCCAGGAGTCTTCCATCTGTTCTGAGGCTGCTTCCTCCTCTTGGCCCTGCCCTACAGGTCATGAAGGAGAAGGGCAAGAGGTCATCTGAACACATCCACCAGATTGACGTGGACGTGAGCGGGACACTAAGGAATCACATCTTCCGATATCAATACGGAGCCAAGTAAGCCTATGGGAGCCACAGGATCACAGCAGACATGGAGTGAACGAAAGGGATGGGGGCTTCCCTGGAGCAGAAACCAGGGTCACCTAGGAGGGATGAGAGAGCTGCCAAGACCTCTCCTGGCCCAGGGAGCAGCCGGCACTATGAACTGAGCACCTGGTTCCAAGCCCTGGGCCAGACTGGAACATGTGGGGCCAGAGCCCAGGAGGATCCTGAGGAGACAAAAGGCAGCAAACAAAATCATGCACAATGCTGAAAGGTGCTCTCCCTGACCCACGGGGACCCACGGGGACCCACGGTAGGACCCACGGGAGGGTGGCAGGATGGAGGGCCCATGAGCCTCCCCAGGAAACACTGACAGCACCAAATGCTGGGTGGACTAGGGGTCCTGGAAACTGTCATCCTGCTCTGCTGGGAACGTGACATGGCACAGCCACTTTGGCAGCCAGTTGGGCAGTGGCTCACAAAGCTCAATGGACTTGAACCGCACGTCCCCAAAGTGTCACAGATATTGAACCCACTGATTTGAAAACTGACATCCACATGAGACCTGCATGCCATGTTCACTGCTTGATTCATCGTCGCTCACACACGGAGCCTTTGGGGACAGCCTTCAACATGGGAATGGGGAGAGCAAGGCTGGTCCTCCCTTCAAAAGGAAGACACAGTGAGAAAAGGGAACAAGCCAGTGATGCCCGCATGAACGTGGGTGGATCCTACGTGCATTTTGCTGAGGGAAAGAAGCCAGACGCAATAAGCTACCACGTAGGATTCCCATTCCTGGGCCATTCTGGAAAAGGCCAAACCATAGGGATTGAGAAGCAATCTGGGTGGCCAGGGGCTGACGGATCAGGGAGAGGCCAGATGCATAGGGACCACCCTGGAGACTTGGAAGATGAAGGAGTCGCTTCAGGAGGGGCTGGAGCAGTGGCCAGGAAACTCTGCCCATTGGTTTAGAACCACGGAGGAACTGTAAGGCCCAAGACTGAGCTGGCGTGTGTGCAAATTAAAAAAAAAAAAATCATTCAGAGTGAAAAGGATCAGGCAAGTCACTGTACAACTGGGCTATCTGCATGTCACAGATGTGGATTTTACTGAAACATTTCCTCAAAGTCAAAGACCCTGAAGAGCTCACTGCTTATCTGGTGAATCATCTGAACCTAAAGTGGGATTTGTTGTTAGGCTTTGTAGACAAACTGAAGCTATCGGCATCTGCACAAAACAAACAAAAGCCTCATTTCTCTGTTTCCTAGGCAGCGGGAACTCTTCTACATCCTCCTGGCATATTCGGAGTATAACCCGGTGAGTATTCCCGGCAGTGA